TGGAAGCCGTTCGCGCCAGGGACGGCCATTTCGTTGTATTGACCGTCGCATTTCCGGGCGGACACTGCGCCGAGCCCGCGGCTGAGGAAATGGCGGTGCGCGCAGGCGCATACACGACGGCCACAGGCTCGTGGAGCCGCACACGCGCGCAGGCGCACACAGTATGGGCACTTGGTGGGAATCTAGCAGGCTAACAGGAGACGGGATTGCGCTTGCGCAGGCGCACACAGGATGTGCACCTGATGCGAATCTGGAGAGCTAGCCGGCGCCAGGACTACACGCGCGCAGGCGCACAAAGGAGGAACACCTGCTGCGAATCTAACGGGTGAGCCGGTGACAAGACTATGTGCGCGCGGCCGCACACGTTCTCCGCCCCCGTCCGCGGCCCTTCGAAGCTGGTGAGACCGCTCCGCATATACAGCCATTTCCCTAGAGATCATGAAAGCTCTAGAACAATGATTCCATACACGGAATAAAAAACCGTTGCTGTCGAGTTGATTTCCAACTTATAGAGACCCTACAGGACACAGTAGAACTGCTCCATAGGGTTTCCAAGGACCGGCTGGTGGATATGAACTGCTGACCTTTTGGTTAACAGGCATGCTTAACCACTCTGCCACCCGGGCTCCGGATAGACAGGAGAATAAATTGGAAAGCTATTAAAAAGATATGGATACTAACCTTAGGGAGCAGTGAGTTTGTTAATCAGGGAGGAACAACGCAGGAAAATGGTTGCACAACTAGAAAAAGGTAATGTCACTAAATTGTACATGTAGAAACTGTTGAATTGGTATATGTTTTTGCTATCTATATTGTCAACAACAATTAAAAAAAATTTTTTTTTAACGGGGAGAATAAAAGATACGGATGCTGAGCATCAAGCCAGGCCTCAAGCTCTTGCTTGCTGTTCCTCCAGCGTTTTTCATACTTCTTTTTGGGGGATGTTCCCAAGTGTCCAAGGGTCACAACCAGTCACTTCCTATGCCAATCAGCATCCTGTCATGAGAGTCCTTTGGCCTAGGGAACCACACAGCCCCTCACAGACCACACCCCAATACGGACCCTGGTTGGGATACCAGCCACTGCCCCCGCTCCCGCCCCCGGAGGACCTCGCCTCCATTTCCCACAGCAGAGGCAAAACTCAGCCAAAACACTCAATGAGATTTATTGATGAGAAACACTGGAACTGTTGAAGTGAAAGGAATTACAACAGAGGGAACATATAAACACCAACAGAAGTCACGAGCCCTCCCTCCTCCGGAGTCCCTAACCAGGAGCCTCAGCCACCCCCACACTGTGGCCCTCCCCCGCCACCTCTGCCTCCTGTCAGGACAATGACTCTGGAAACCACCACTCACTTCGGGGGACCCCTCCACAGCTCACTCGCTGGGGCATGGCCTTGTCCCGTGACCCCACGGGACAGGCAGAGAACAACACTGGAAAACAGCAAAAAACACATCAGCACGTCAGGGAAACTGAGTCACAAACAACAGCAGGGATGGAGCTTCCCGAAGCCTGCCCTGTCCCTGGTCCATCCTTCCTGTTTGGTCACGGGGTGGGGGTCGCCACTCCCTGGACAAGGCCCTCGGGCTCACTGCCTGGACCTCCCGGGCCTGCCCCGGGAGCACTGCCCACCTGAGCTGGGGCGGGAGCGCTTTCATCTTCCTGAGTCACAGGGGCGCCCTTTACAGCAGCATCGGCTCCTGGAGCAGCCTCAGAGGTGTCTTCAGTGTCGTGAACAGCCTCACTGGCCTCTTCACTGCCTGGGGCAGCCTCCGCGGAATCTTCACAGGCCGGGACGGCCCGGGCGGCGCCTTCACTGGCTGGGGCGGCTTCGGCGGCGTCTTCATTGGCTACAGTGGTCTCGGTGGCATCTTCATTGGCCGGGATGGCCTGGCCGGCATCTTCCTTGGCTGTGGTGGCCTTGGCAGCATGTTCACTGCCTGATGCCTCCCCGACAGCCTCTTCATTGCCTGGGTCAGCCTGGATGATGGCTGGGGCTCCACCGGCTGCGTGGGCCCCTTCCTCCACCTGGGATGGCTCCCTCCTGGCCTGGGCAGCCTCCCATGCCTCGGTCTCCTGAACGAGCCCTAGCAGCGCCATGAAGCCAGGAGGCCGCCCCTCCATACGCATCCTCCTCAGCTTGCTGTACAGCGTGCGATTGGGCTGAGCCCGCATCAGCACCTGCCGCACACGCACCTGGTCCGCGATGGCCGGGTGCACCGCCCCCTTCTCCATGGCCGTCTGCAGCAGGCCTTCCTGGCGCATCACATAGGCAAACAGGCTCTCCCCAGGCTCCTGGGCGCAGGTGAGGAACTTGAGCCGCGCGGTCATGCGCGTGTCCTGGGTCCCAAACACCTGCACCAGGGCCACCAGGCAGTCCTGCGCGGGGAGGCCGGGGTCTTCTGCCAGGAGGCCACACAGGAGGTCCAGGGCCGGGCCGCTCAGGCACTCCACCAGCCTCCTCCTCTTCTCCCTCTCCGACACGTGGCGCCACAGGTACAGCATGTCGTAGGCGTGGTCCAGCCAGCCCTCAAAGGGCTCTTCCCCGGGGCCTGGCTCTTCTCGCCCCGAAAAGGGTCTCAGTTCCTGGTAGGCCAGGCTCTCCAGCATGGGCTGTAGGGCGTGCCTCCACTGCTGCGCCCAGGTGTCGGCCTCGTCTGAGCCTCCTGCCTCACCTAGGGCTGCTGCCATACCTAGCGCCCCTGCCACATCCTCATATCCTGCATCACCTGCGGCTCCTACCTCACCTGCAGCTCCTGCCTCACCTGCAGCTTCAGCCACATCTTCATATCCTGCCTCACCTGCAGCCCCTGCCTCACCTGCAACTCCTGCATCACCTGCAGCTCCTGCCACAACCTCATATCCTGCCTCACCTGGGGCTCCTGCATCACCTGGGGCTCCTGCCCCACCTGCGGCTCCTGCCCCACCTGCGGCTCCTGCTCCATCTGCGGCTGCTGCCACACCTGCAGCTGCTGCCTCACCTGCGACTCCTGCGTCACCTGCAGCTCCTACCTCACCAGCATCTCCTTCCTCTCCTGGGGGTCCTGCATCACCTGCAGCTCCTACATCATGTGCAGCTTCTGCCACATCCTCAACTTCTGCCTCACCTGGGCCTCCTAGCTCACCTGGGCCTCCTGGCTCACCTAGGACCCCTGCCTCACCTGCGACTTCAGCCTCACCTGGGGCTTCTGCCTCACCTGCAATTCCTGCATCACCTGCAGCTCCTACCTCACCAGCATCTCCTGCCTCTCCTGGGGGTCCTGCATCACCTGCGGCTCCTGCA